GTATTCATGTTAAACTGCGGCATGGTATCTCAGTGAGCTAGCACTATAAATCGGCATCAGTCCGGACTAGTACAAGCAGCCACACAAACACACACACGTACATGCACGTCGCTATATACGAGTAAGTGCAATAATCTTGGACGCGACGTTAAACCCCATTTCACCTCACCTCACTTCCATGCAACAATTTATTGATACCATATGTTTCCATGTCTTTTAATGTGAACACTTGACTAGTTCATATGCCACCAGTGGGTCAGGATACGCTCACCATTACGCTAACACCCGGTGTCATCTCATCACAAGCACGTGACTCATAAACAGATGCCTTTGCCATAGTAGGGATCGTACAGTGAACGTTAAGATTAGGAAAACCATTCACACGATGAGGCATGTGTTGTCAGGTTCTACGTCAATTAGGCATTGTAAGACTTGGTAGTTGACCATACCAGTAGAGGCTTATCTTACAGATAATGTCTCAGGACAGACTTAGATGGTTGTTGCCTCGAGTAAAGGTTGTTGCATTAAGCAACTCTTGTTACTGTCAATATTTGTTTGTTTGTTGTTTAACGCCACACTCAGCAATATCCTAGCTATATGACGGCGGTCTGTAAATGGTCGAGTCTGGACCAGACATTCCAGTGATTAATATCATGAGCATCGATCTACGCAATTGGGACAGATGACATGCATCAACCACAGATTGAGACACGAGTTTGTTGAGATGCATGGATTGAGATTAACCAAGTACATAATCAACCCTTTCAGCTAACATGGTTTCTGTTCATTTAGTGCATCGAAAAAAACATCTGACTGCTTCATCTTGAATATGAGCCAAACTAACCTCTTGATCCCCGTTCCACAGAGCGATATAAGCGCCACGGTGATCGCAACTCCCATACATTAATATAGGCTTACGACAGTCGTACAGACAATCCAGTGATTAATATCATGAGCATCGATCCAAGCAAATGGGATAGATGACATGCATCAACCATGTCAGAGAGCCTGACCACCCGATCCCGTTAGTAGCCTCTTACGACAAGCATAGTCGCCTGTTACTGACAGTAAGTGGATGGGTTAGTGCGCTTGAAGACTGTGATGAGTGGAATAGTGACTGATTGTGATCCAAAAAAGCTGATGACATACAATCAGCCAGATTACACACGGTAATATCCTCTAGGCCAATAGTTTGGTTCTTGGTGCACTCCTATCATCACAACCCCACAGGTCATCTCAGCCAGTATTTTACGAAACCATATTGGAACTAGTTTCTCTTGTTCACGTGACTATCCGAAGTGAATAAAATAATGAAATGTTATGTCTTATTTACGACCAAACAATTCTATTCTCAAAAAACAAACCAGGAATGAAATGCCACACAAAAACGGATGGAATCCTCCCCCATCTAGCGCGTGGCATTGGAACAAACAAAAAAATCTGTCAAAGAACCCATGTTGTGCTGACGTCACAAAACATTGAGGGGGTGAAAACCGCATGACATGGTCGTGAAACATTACAACAGTTACAACACTGCACAGAAAAGAGACAAAACTGACAAAACGATCAACGATAGAGAGTCACGTTAATGATAACTGACCAGTTAGTATCCCAGGGTGATCCTGTTGTTGTTCGCAACCCACGTGATGTTTAAGACTGTCTTCTGCATGTCTCGTCAGATTCGTTCAACACATTTGACATTCAGTATCGAGTGGGGGATATTCACAGATACGTGGGTAGTGATGGAACTGAATATTGCTCAGAATTACAATAAATTTGGTATGCTAATAAACAAGTCGTTTTCACGAATACCGACTCATGAATAAAATATAAGTGATATAGGCTGCGATTGGTGTCACTGGAAGACTCGATATGTGAAGTTTAAGAACGTAAAAACAGTTGTATGACTAGTAGTAGGGTAAACCATGTTTTGTGTGCTTCTCGGTTGATATCATTTATCTACTTGATTTAGATGCAGCTCTCATAGACTTTTGAATCAAGTAGATAGACACAGAAACATCGAGAAATAAGAATGTGTGAGCAGTGTGATTAAAGATGAGTTTTATTTTAAGTTAGTTTGTCCAATATACGACTCTCTAAGAATTAAATACATAGAACTGCCATTGTATGTCAACTCATCAAACAAACAAACAAACAAACATCGATCATGTCAACAAGTGATCATTATACTCATAAAAACTATCAATGTTCATTTATCATGCTATGTTAATTAGAATATGAACTGTTAAGCATACCTGCAACCCCTCCCGAAAACAGAATCGTACTATGGGCCTGTTGCCTTTCAGTGTGGAATAAAACTTATCCAATTCTACTGAATTATATCAGCATGTTCTCTCTGTATTTTGGCAGAACGTCCTATTTTTGTAAAAGAACATACTTTCATTTAGTATAATTATGTCATGTACAAGATTAGGATGTGATTCTTGGGATGACAAGAACATCTCTTTGATGATGGCGCTGGCGCCTACGGAAATGCACTAACTCTTCAATCAATAACATTTTAACCACGTGATACTTCCCTCTGTATGAGGCATACATCCATTATTTCAGATGCTGCAATTTCGGCCGCAAGAACAACGCCGACAACTCAATCACAATTTATTATACAAAACACGACAAAAACTTCGGCAATGATAATATAATTACTGCGACAAAATCATTTCCATATTCATAAGAATTCTCTGCTAGAGAAGCAGGGCCCATCGTACAATTCCGACCAATCATGTGTTTATAAATCACTATCAAATAGCGATGACACCAAGAGTTAGCGAAAAGGTTATAGTATCCTGCCCCGTCACAAACACATGCAAAGGCAAGACAAGTCAATTAAGAAGATCAGCCTAAGCAATACCACAATCACAACCTCCACAAATGCAACCACAACAGCCACACGACTTCATCAACACAACCTCAACAACCAAACATTTACAACCTAGACAACCTCACAACTACAACCCACATCAACAAATAATGGCTGTAACAGTTGTTTCAGACAGATTGAAACACGAGTTTGTTGAGATGCTTGGATTGAGATTAACCAAGTACATAATCAACCGTTGCAGCTAACATGGCTTCTGTTCATCTAGTGCATCGAAAACACATCTGACTGCTTCATCCTGAATATGAGCCAAACTAACCTCTTGAGCCCCGTTCCACAGAGCGATATTAGCGCTACGGTGATCGCATCTCCCATACATTAACATAGGCTTACGATAGTCGTAGCGGTAAGATCACTTTGTGGAACAGGACCCTGATCGCAATTTGTTCATATGGAGTACATATCCAGCTTGATTGATATACTGCAAACTAATTGTTTGTTTGTTTGTTATTTAACGTCGTACTCAGCAATACCCCTGCTATATGACGGCGGTCTGTAAATAATTGAACCTGGACCAGACAATCCAGTTATTGATATTATACACAACGTCCCACGCTGTCGGCTTGCGATGACACCCAATCAACAAAGTCTGACCAACCGATACAATAACGTCTGGTCCAACAGGCATGATCCAACGAAGATTGGTTGGTTGGTTAGTTGTTTAATGCCGCACTCAGCAATATTCCAGCTATATGACGGCGATCTGTAAATAATCGAGTCTGGACCAGACAATCCAGTGATTAATATCATGATCATCGATCCACGCAATTGGGATACGATGACAGGCATCAACCAAGTCAGCGAGCCTGACCACCCGATCCCGTTAGTCGCCTTTTACGACAAGCATAGTCACCTTTTACGGCAAGCATGGGTAGCTGAAGACCTATTCTAACCCGGAATCTTCACGGGTCTCCAACGAGGAACCTTCACAGTTGGCAGTATGCAACAGCAATATACGCTTGACTTGCATTCCATGTAACGGGCGTCCGCCCGGAGAGCGGAAGGTCCGGGGTTCGATCCCTGACCGCGTCATACCAAAAGACGTAAAAAGATGGTACTTGTTGTTACCCTGTCAGGCGCTCGGCATTAAGGGGCCAAAACAAGGACTGGTCGGCTCGGAGTCAGTAACTGTGTCTGAGTGGGGTATTCATGCTAAACTGCGGCATGGTATCTCAGTGGGCTAGCACTATAAATCGGCATCAGTCCGGACTAGAACAAGCAACCACACAAACACATACACGTACATGCACGTCGCTATATAAGTGCAATAATCTTGGACGCGACGTTAAACCTCATTTCACCTCACCACCTCACCATGTAACGGTAGCATTACAATATACTTTTGTAAAATCAGATGCAGTAAATAATTTGGTTTAATAAGTTCTGCCAGGAAAATTTGACCTGTTTTTCCTCGTAATGTTTCGTCAACAAATATATCCCGAGTATGTACTGTTTTGACTGCAACCTATAAACCTTCAAGTCGCCTCCAGAATCGGTCATTCCCGACACAATTACTGCGTTCAACTGCCATGTGACCAGCACAGGGTTTATCACAATGGTTTAACATACACGGCCGTTTGCCCAGTTCAATTTTCACTTAACAATGCAAACAAAATACGACATTGTTAATAAAGTCCGTTTAAAATTAATAAGAATAGAAAAGCCAAATTGCGTGAACGCCACGCGTGTGTTATTTGTAAACTCATTGTAGCCTGCCACCAATGTGTGGTTTCCTATTTAATTAACGCGGCCATTTTTATATCTCCTGTTGAAAAAGACAGCATAACAACCGATCTAATCACGTTGTTTTCAGAACAAAAACTAAAGAAAGAATGTATTGAAAAAATCAATACGAAAAAAGGTACAAAAGGCACCAAGATTCTCTCTGTATAGTATAAATCCACAAGAGTTTAATTACAATCTGTAGTTATCTTTTTAACTCCCTCCCCGAAACCATTTCAGATTCGCTAATATAATAACACGTACCGGCACAGTCAGAGCTGTGACAGCTGCTTATTCATACGTCCCTTGGCCCGTCTACGATCGGTCCTCTGCTCAGCATTCCGCCGTTCCTGGTTCATTGTCACAGAAGGCGCAGCGCGGTCGGTCGGCTGCCAAGAACGCTGATCGAAACTCTATCAATCTGAGCAAGTAAGGGGGAGTATTTTGAGAACTCATTGGCGTTTTAATACGTTAGAGCGTCGTGATATAAAAAATCGAAAACAAACAGTCGGTGGATTAATCAAGAGGACAAACTATTTTCTTATTGACACAAGACGTCCTAATCGTCGTTTCAGTTCAGGCAATGCGGTTTCGTTCAAGTTCTGACGGTTTTGGTGATTGTGGAAACTTATGAAGAAGTTATTGATCGCTTGCACGGAAGGTTTTTCACTTTTTTCACGTGCAAGGTAGTTTCTTGGAAGACAGATTGAAGAAACCGGTGTGCGGGAACGATTTTTCTCTGCGGTCTGAAGGATAAGTCTAAAGTTACAAGTTCTGCCAGTGTGGGGTATCGGCGAATGTGATTCGGGGTTTGTTCTCCGGAGATTTTCTTGAGTGGGAATTCTTGTTATGCAACGTCGTTGTTTGTGGCAACAGCTGATACGTTAGGTTGTTGTGTGGACAACACTACCTCTTTCACAATGGATAACCGAGCGCGGGATTTTGCCAGGCTCAATTTCTCAAGTAAGTACAGGGTCTCGAAACTAGAAACACTGAATCACCCACTGGTAACATGAAAACATATTTAATGTGATTTCTAAACAGATTGTTTCGTATTAAGAATGTTTTGTTGCCCGCGCGCGTGCTTGCGCGTATGTGTCTGTGTGTGGTGGGTGGATTTGTACAAAAGATCAACAAACATAATTCGGTCACTGCTCACACTAACGTTTTTGAATGTGTCTGAGTGTGTCGTGGGTTATTACTCGATTACTTGTTTTATATGATCCCCATGTTCCTCATATAATCATCCCAAATATGTCCCACAACGTATTAGTTTGTCATCAAGTATAAAACCAAATTCTGAAGAGGTAAGGCAACCAAGTGGCTACTACATAACTGAACCTTTCTGGTATCTCAAATTATAAGTATGTACCTCCATGAGATGTCAAATCTCTTCACATTCCATCAGTATTATTTTACCCCACTTTGTGATTTAACATTTTAAACCAGAGTTGAACATTTGCCCACATGTTATACATTCAGACATGTTGTAAACTGAAAATAATATAAGACTTAAAGGGGGGCTAGACTCACACCAGATGGCAATCCGTGCCTGTTTGATTCAAAACATTCCAAACCTCTATTTTTGCTGAGTTTTGTCAAACTCCATGAGGCATATGAATCTAGAGGTGCCCTTACAACGATAAGAAAATATCTCAATATTACACATGGCACCACAAACAATATCTGGATGTAGACGTTTTGTCTTAAAAATGGGTTTAAACATTTGCTCATATTTTATACATTCAGACATGTTGTAAACTGAAAATAATCAAACACTTAAAGGGGGGCTAGACTCACACCAGTTGGCGATCCCAGCCTGTTTGATTCAAAACATTCAAAACCCAATTTTTTGTCTGCTGAGTTTTGTCAAACTCCATGAGGCAAATGAATCTAGAAGTGCCCTTACAACGAAAAGAAAATATCTCAATATTACACAGGGCACCACAAACAATATCTGGAGGTAGACGTTTTGTCTTCAAAATGGGTTTATCTAAACTCTTCTTTTGTTTCTTTCATCTTTGCAATACCGAACGATTTTAATAGACAGTAATAATACAATCCAAACCTGACCAACATCTATCACACCCACCAGTATTACTTAGGACGACGTTCCTGTATGCCTTGCTCTGTCTTTACAAGCAGCCGCTTAGACCCTACGTCTCGACTCGGTGTTCAAACTATTTTTTCACTTCAGACACGTAATTTCCTTACCGAAACATGACATCGTCTAGAAAGGATCATAAGGGCCTTCATATGTAAATGTTAGACCAAGAAAGCCCGAGTAGAAACAGTTGTTATCAGCAAATCATGAATAAAAGATAGGTAATATAGTATATGGATCGTTTCATTAAACGAGTGGCGTGTGATGGTAATGTTTAGATAGTATAGAGTTTAGGAGGGCTTATATTGGTATGGCTTCTAGTAGGTTAGTCACAATGCCAAGGTACACATTCCCGGGGACGTTCTTAACTGTCCATTGGCCCATAGGTCGTTCTTTAAGAATACACAGTGCTGAAGCAACACATACGAATTCAGACGAGAATATACCCGTGTGCTCATTATTAAATGTAGGTTGTGACAATAGTTAAAATAGTTGTTGTGAAATGTATACATGGTTTCTTTAAAGGACATTTCAGTAACTAATCTATCAAGGGTGAGCCCACGGTTAAGCGAAGGATAATTGAGACAAAATATAATTTGAGGTAACTAAAAATGAATTCTGTCAAACGTGTTTCTTACAGTTACTGTAGGTTTGTTGTCATACAGGCTTGATATGGCTGATCTGGTGTAAATCACATTTCGGAGTTTCGTCTCTAACGGGATCCGGTAAGTGTGGGTTCAACTCCTAGATCAACCCTGATTGATGAATGGTTTGTCAGCACCTTACCCGTGCTCGTGAGTTTAACCGAAGAGGAAAACAGCTTCACTTTGTTCCTCAAACATGAAGCTGACTCCCGTGATATTACTGAGATACTACTCAACTAACATTTAAACATCTGGGTGTTTTAGGCGAACAATTGACTTACCTTTGCATGTGTTTGTGTCTCCCAATGGTGGGGCAGGGTCCGCTCACCTTTTCGCGAAAAGCTGGTTTCATCACTATTTGATAACATTCATTAACACATACTTAGCATATAGCCGTACAATGGACTGCTTTCAGTGGTATTTTTCTGATCCTTTCACATAAACTGCACCACTTTTTTGTCTTTACACCCAGTGGAATGTTCTTCGGACAATCGAGACTAGTTATATTTCATGATTATGAAAAGGATTTTGTCCCATTTATTTAAACAAAACGCAAGAGATCCATTTCCATCGTTCAGCCGAATGTTTACCTTGTTCAGTTTTGCATGTACAGTTTAATCACTATTTTCGTACAATCGACTCTTTTGGCAGAGTTTTTATCTGACTATGGAAAGGGCTTTGCGGCTTTTATTTCACTTATCCAAACCTATTCGCCTCAGGATGAACTACCCCTGTGGACCCTGTAGATTCTGTGGAGCGTTGAATAAATGATCCTACATGTGTTCATCTCGTGTTAAAGCGGTACTAATTATCACGACAAAAAAATGCATCAATCAGAATTTGCATTAATAATGTATATCTCACCCCTGTCTCCTTGACGCCCATTGGATACCATCTTCAACTGAATTGAAATTAACAGTGTGGGCAGACGCTTTACTTCAAAAAGTCACAAGTAGGCTGACCTCCCTCCAGTATTAAGACTCTCATAGTGGAATATGCCCCGATTCTTTACATAATTCAGCGCCTAGTGTCTTGTAGTCTTCCCAATGGGTCAACATCAGAACCGACGAGGGAATACAGGTCATATCTCACAGCGAGTCAGAGAGTCTAAGTCAGGAAAAACTAATAAACCAGTATGGTAACCTTTGTAAAATTGGATTAATATTTCACATTGAGAGTAGCTCGTGAAAATTCAAACATATTTTAATATAAGGGACGTGACTTTATGTTGAGTTGATGATGCATTTAATGAAAACAATAAATTCATCTTTCGTTGGCATTGACTGAAACAAATGTGATGGCCGTAGTTTTGTTTGTTTGTTGTTTAACGCCGCACTCAGCAATATTCCAGATGTATGGCGGCGGTCTGTAAATAATCGAGTCCGGACCAGACAATACAGGTATTGACATCTTAGAATCGATCTACCTTGTACATGTAAACTACACCCAGAATCATCGTTATTTTTAATCCTTATATGTGTCAAGGGAGGACAACATTATATCAATTATCTGCAGAAAGGACTTATTATTCACTCATTGCTTCAAAGCCAAATTGATGATGTTTCTTTTTTGTTTAATTGTTTGTTAACGCCGTATATAGTAATATTCTAACTGTATGACAGCGGTCTGTAATTATTCAAGTCTTGACCAGAAAATCAAGTTATTGGCATCATGAGCATCGATCTATGCAATTGGGATACGATGACATGCATCAACCAAGTCAGCGCGCCTGACTACCCGATCCCGTTAGTCGCCCACAAGTATGGGTTGCTGAAGCCCAGTTCTAACCCGGATCTTCACGGGATGGCCAAAGTGATTCAGGTCATTAACATTACCACAAAGATATGATGTTGACAAACCTAACCGCGAATCTGACTCGAATCCAGCACGTCTAAGGGACGCAACTCCGAACGGCAGGTTGCTTCGCCTTACACCTAAACACCTCCGGTCTTCTCAGCCTTAAGAACACCTCTCTGAGAGAGGATTGAAGCAGGCGCTCTCTTCATTACACATGTAATCAGATCTATATCATTATCATACACACAGGCAGCTGTAGGTAAGCCATGTAGTGCAGCTATTACAGACAGGCTGTTCCCAAAATAGAAGCTATGCATGAATTACATGCTTGTAAATGTATGCAATGCAACGAGCTAAAGAAACCTTGGGTTTTTATTCCACTTTTATACACATTTCAAGATTGCTACACCCATTTTATGGCTTCATCTACTGGCCCCATGTCTGTGTCACCTTATACTTTGTCTGAAGTCACATATTCGATCGCCCAATTATACACGAATACCCATATGTGTTGTCATGATAATTTTTGAATATTAATAAGATGTCATATAAATGCCAGACTGATCTCATCTGTAGTTTCCCCCATTGGGACTTGACATTTCGAGGAAGGATATTTCACTAATATATATGACCCTTTTCTTAAACCGAGCTACAAATGGCTCATTACGAAGTGTTAGCATCAGTCTTGTGTCTAATCTATCACCAAAATGCCATGTTTTCCAAGTAAATGTAACATTAAAGACGCCTCTATGAAAACAGACCGTTGTCATTAGCACGACGCCAATGTTAGGAAACGCACGTCCATCTCCTTTCAACGTTGCCGGCCTCAGATTTTAGTTTTTGTTTACTCGGCGTCCAATTACAGCTATCTATTGAATCTGGTCCTTGCATCTATCTGTTACATCCAATTCCTTTCTTATGCTTGATGTTTTTATTCTACTAAATTAGAACAGGCAGCCAACGATTGATCTGACAGAGATATGAGGCAAATGAAGGGTGCTACCTTGGCTGTATCTGACAGAGGTGGTAGGTGTTCCTGCGCAAGTCAGTGTTAAGTCAGCGTCATTGTTCCAGCCACCAAGATACGGATAGAGTTTCTGTTTTAACCTATTTACAAAAATTCGATTACGGTCTATTAATGGAACTGTGCATCTTCCTCTCCCCATACGAACCGCATATATTTGTAGGTATCGCGGGACTGTTTCACGTTCACAATGTATGCCCAAACCATTGGCAAAACTACGTCAGATATTTTACTGATTCATTGTTTTGAAAATTGAGAACAATTAGTTTAGTAGATTTAATTTATGAAAAATCGCCTTTGCTAAATTCTTTAGAGTGCGTGAATCCCGGAATTAATTTTCATTCTTATTTGACAATATAAGGCAGTGAACGAAAATGCCATAACTATTCGTCAG